GAGACATGAGAACTTGGGAGTCAGTACAGTGATTAGGAAATAACTGCTATGATGAATTTCTTGGGAATTCTTAGGAACAGGAAAAAAATCCACATATTATTGCCCAGGTAAATCAGATAGCATGAATATGAAGTATGTTTAATCAGGATGGTGACATTATTTTCTTTAGCAAATCCCATAGCTCAGGTCAGGGAACTAAAAAAACAAGCCAGCAAAAACCACCTAAAAGTAGGTGATCACCCATAAGGGTTGAATGAGTAGGGTCATTGAAGTAGTGGGTTAAGGAAGGGCATAGAGATCTGACTACAGCATTGGCTAAGTGTGTGATGATGACATGTCAGTCAAGAGGAGTGGTTCTAGTGTAAGAGCAGGAAGTCTCGGGACAACAGTGCAGGAAGGTCACAATGAAGCATTAACTAAAAAAGCAGATGGTGAGATGGGGGTAGGAGGAAGAGCAGAAAGCTATTTGAGTACCAAGGAATGAATGAGGAATGAGGATGGGGAAGTTAGGGTGTTTGTGATGGACATGTACACTCTGCTGTATTTAAAGTAGATAACCAACAAGAACCTACTGTACAGCAAAGGGAACTCTGCTTGATGTACGCAGTGGCCTGGACAGGAGGGAAGTTTAGGGGAGAATGGATACATGTATGTGTATGACTGAGTCCCTTGCTGTCTACTTGAAACTATCACAACATTGTTATAAGCCATACCCCAATACCATGGTGTCCCTATGCCAAGGTGTGATGGTGGTCAGGGAAATTGATCACGTTGGGGACTAGGGACATTAGGGTATGAGAAAGTCATCAGCATGGGTGCAGTTTGTCCTGGATGTTGGCAAATGGCAGAGAGAAAGAATGGACCTGTAGTGGTCCTAGGGAAAGGTAGAAAGGATCCTGCGGGTCAATGCATCTGAAGATGGGGGCCATGTGCATGCTGTGAGATGACAGAGAGAATATGGTGAGGAGGCAGCAGGGGAAGGACGTGAGTGCCAAGCTCATCCCTGGCTCATTCCTGGTGGTGGGGAGAAGAGGATGCCATTGTTTTTGCAAGCCAGGGCCACTGATCCCTGGGGATGGCATGAGGCCAGACTATAGCTGAAGTGGGGGCCCAGCTCGGGCTGTGCTGGGAACACAAATTCCTGTCTCTTGTCTGCTTCCATGACCTCCATGTTGGCAAGCTAGACAATGGTATGGAGTCCTTTATTTTTTCTCCCTAAAACTTATCCTTTTACTCTGCTTTCTACTGCATGTCAAAATAGTTTCTAATTGCATCTCATACCACACCGCGTGCCCTAATAACCACAATGTGTTCCCACATGTTACTCTGCTATTATTTTAGAGAAAACTGCCAGAATTTAATTTCACTCTCCTCTAAGGTAATTTACGGTTCAGCTGTATTGCTATGNAATGGAAGAAAAAAAAAAATCACACAGATAAGCAGCCTGAACCGTGACACTGCACCATATACCACAGACATTCTTAAAATCCAGGACACTATAAAACTTGGGATTTCAAAGTTATGGAATCTCAAAAATTTGAAGATTTAGTCTTAAAGAATTCCCAGGGACAGAAAAATGAATGTTGTCCACGAATCACCACACAGAGGTGGCTTAAAGCATGGGCCCAGGAATCAGATGGACTCATGGTCAAGGAGGCCAAGAGGCCCAACCAACAGCTACAGGCCCGTGGTCAAATTTTGGACCTTCTCTTCGTCTTGGGCTCCTCATCTCTCAATGGGGATGACACCTGTCTCAGAACTGCTGGGAACTAAATGCGATGATGCAACAATGCCTGCAAGGAGGTTCACAGAGTAAGTGCCCAGTAAATGCTATAAAGCTATGACTTTTAAAAAAAAGTCATTGCTGTTTTACTCACTTTGTTTTGTAAGTTTCTTCAGGAAAGTTTTTGGTAAACTTGGTAGTGTGTGTGTGTGTGTGTGTGTGTGTGTGTGTACATATATTTCTTTTCCTAAGAAGCATTAAAAATAATAGCTACCTTCTTATTTTTTTCTTACCTTAAGTTCAGGAGGGTACCTGAGGCAGTTAGTATTCCTTTTTATGTGAATACTTAAAGACAGTGAGAAACAATCAGGAAAGGGACCCTATCCCGGGGTCCCCTATGCCCGGGCCACAGAGCAGTACTGGTCGGTGGCCTGTTAGGAACTGAGTCACACAGGTGAGTGAGCAAAGCTCCATGTGTTCTTCGGCTCCTCCCCATCGCTCTCTCATCACCTCCAGATGGGACCATCTAGCTGCGGGAAAACAAGCTCTGGGCTCCCACTGAGTCTGCATTATGGTGAACCGTATAATTATTTCATTACATATTAAAAGATAGTAATAATAGAAATAAGAACTCCTTATTGCTAAATTTAGATTTAAACTGAAGAAAGTAGGGAAAACCACTGGACCATTCAGGTATGACCTAAATCAAATCCCTTATGACTGTACAGTGGAAGTAGGAAATAGATTTAAGGGACTAGATCTGATAGACAGAGAGGCTGATGAACTATGGACGGAGGTTCGTGACATTGTACAGAAGACAGGGGATCAAGACCATCCCCAAGGAAAAGAAATGCAAAAAGGCAAAATGATTGTCTGAGGAGGACTTACAAATAGCTGTGANTTTTGAGTCCCCATGGAGTTCCATTTTGAAAGTCCAAATCATTATCATATTGGTAGGGAGAATAATATGGTACTCAGTTTACAAAAGAAGAAAGAGAAGAAATTTAAGTCCCTCTGATCAATTCAAGCTCTGTGCATAATGCTCTGTCAATAGACACTGCATGTGGCAGCTCCAGTTGAATGCTAATCCTTCCATTTTAAAAAGGTTACATGGCATGTTAGCTTCATGACTTCCATTAAAGCCAAAGGGTGTTACACCATTACCATACTTTGGAAAGAATGCTCTCTAATGCTATTGATTTTGATCTTTTGAACTCAAGCTCTGATGCCTGTGTCCATTGACAACTACCCTGCCTAGTTCTTACAGGACTCTGAAGTGCTGGATTAGCAAGTAAGCCCCTTTTTCAAATTAATCAGCTTGCCTATCTGAGACAAATGTTTTTATCTTAATGCTCTTAGAAATGCCACATTTCAAGCTTTTTTCCCATAGTTAGAGTATACAGTTCAGAACTGCCAACCGTGGGTTTTGAAGAAGTAAATGGAAGGCTCACTTCAGGAAGCAGAAGCTATTGTGACATGGTCAGATCTGTATTGCAGGAAGTGGAGTATATCTGAACAGTGGCTATTTAGGAAATGTGGGTAGCAGGCAAGATATAAAGCAGAGGTGCCCTTTGGAAGGCCACTGAGGATATCTAGGCTATAGATAATCATAGTGGACTTGGGTATAGGTAATAGAGAGGCAGAGAAAATAAAGGAATTCCCGTGGTGCTTACATTGTAGAATTGACATGGTTCATGTGTGTAGAAAAACTGAGTGAAAAGGGGGTGCCATTAACAGTAGGATAATGAAGACTCATGGGCTATACAGCAAACTGGAGGACCCAACCAGTGGAGACAGCAGCAACTCAGGTTCAGCCATTTATTACCAAGCAGGAGTTTAGAACCAGTGTTGTTATTCCATCGAATTAAAAAAAAAACCAAAGCTGTGCACTTGGATATTGATATGACTCATTAGAAAAGACCCTGATGCTGGGAAAGACTGAAGGAGAGAGGAGAAGGGGTCAACAGAGGATGAGGTGGCTGGATGGCATCACCGACTTGATGGACATGAGTTTGAGTAAACTCCGGGAGTTGGTGATGGACAGGGAGGCCTGGCGTGCTGTGATTCATGGGGTCACAAAGAGTTGGACACAACTGAGCGACTGATCTGATCTGATCTCTGAATAATAGAAATAAAGTGCTCAACAAATGTAATGGGCTTAAATCATCCCCAAACCATCATTCCTCATCGGCCATGGAAAAACTATCTTCCACGAAACTGGTCCTTGTTGCCAAAAAAGTTGAGGACTGCTGCCCTACCCCATTTCTCATGACCACACTGCTGCCCTATTTTCAGCTACCATGGGGGCAGCCCTCCACTCATTTTTCATCACCCTCCTACATGAAACATGCATATGCATATGCACCTAAACTAAATCACGTACACTGAAGATAGAGATGACTGGTACATGCATTTTAGCTTTTGGATATAATGAAACTATAATATTAACTCTTTATACTCAGCTTATTATTTATAATAAACTGAAGAAGTATCTAAACTGTCACCTCTAAAAGCCAAAGCTATTTCACATTTTCATCCTTGCTGGTTTTAGATTATTAGAGTATCCAAAAGAAGAGTTACTTGAATATTTAAAAATACTTAGGTCATCTACTTTAAATAGGATGAATCCCCACATATCATTAGCAAAGAATGATATCAGAAAGTACTTCACTTAACTTACGGTTGCCAGGGGGAAGGATGGCATAGTTAGGGAGTTTGGGATAGACAGGAACACACTGCTATAGTTAAGTGGATAACCAACAATGTCCTACTGTACAGCACAGGGAACTCTGCTCAATATTATGTGGCAACCTGGATGGAAGGGGAGTTTGGGGGAGAAAGGATACATGTACATGTATGTATGGCTGAGTCCCTTTGCTGTCCACCTGAAACTATCACAACATTGTTAATCAGCTATACACCAATACAAAATAAAAAGTTTAAAAAAGGAAACTATTTCAGCTTAACTTCTACTAGGAACACTCATGAGTTCTAAGTGGGGGAAATCATGATGAAGCGGAGAACATAGGGAAGTGTAAACCCAAGTGAGGCAGCCTAGGGGTGCATTTGTTAAGAGGGTGGACATTCCTTCAAGCTGACTTTTCTTAGAGTTGTACCTTGGTCATCAATATTATACCATTTGCCACTGGTAACAACGCTGAGTTCTGCTTGATTTGCTGTACCTACAGACTAGAAACGAGCTGCTCTATGGAAAACGACGCCACTGGAGGAGGAGAACAGAACGAGCAGAGTCCATGGTGTGGATTTCCATACTTACTCCTGCACACAGGCATCTGGCAAGATCTCACCAGAGGAGGTCCAGAAAGATGCCGGCACAGCGTCTCACTGAGGGGGACCCGACGGCCTTTGGCAGTCAGCTTCTGGCACATCTGCTGTCTCCGCTGGGTTCCAACACCACAACTGACAGAACACTGTAAGGAGAATGGTGGGGACAAGAGTTAGGCGGGGCGAGAGCAGACACACGTCCCCAGCAAAGCCACATCTCCCGCCCCTCCATTTTCTCTTTTCCCTCCTTCCCCTCCTTCCTTCCTTCTTTCTTTTTTAAAAAAATCTATTTGTAAGCTGGGATTCCCTGATAGCTCAGTTGGTAAAGAATTCACCTGCAATGCAGGAGATGCTGGTTCAATTTCTGGGTGGGGAAGATCCACTGGAGAAGGGATAGGCTACCCACTCCAGTATTCTTGGGCTTCCCTTATGCCTCAACTGTTTTGTAAGGTATGAGGCTCACTGTTTTTTCCAATTTTACTGCGATATAATTGATATGTAACATTGTATTAGTTTAAGGTATACAACATAATGATTTATATATGTTGATTACTACAATAAGTTAACAGCCAGAATCTCACATGGTTACAAGGTTTTTAACCTCGTGACTGAATATTTTAAATGAATGTTTATCAGAAAAAGAGACACAGATGTACAGAACAGACTTTTGGACTCTGCAGGAGAAGGCGAGGGTGGGATGTTTAGAGAGAACAGCATTGAAACATGTATATTATCAAGGGTTAAACAGATCACCAGCCCAGGTTGGATGCATGAGACAAGTGCTCAGGGCTGGTGCACTGGGAAGACCCAGAGGGATCGGGTGGAGAGGGAGGTGGGAGGGGGGATCGGGATGGGGAACACATGTAAAATCCATGGCTGATTCATGTCAATGTATGGCAAAAACCACTACAATACTGTAAAGTAATTAGCCTCCAACTAATAAAAATAAATGGAAAAAAAAAGAAACAGATCCAGAAAAAAAAAATGAATGTTTATAACTGACATAGTTTTGTTATAACATGAAGCAAAAAAAATTCAGAGACAGGATAACATGTATGTTTTAAATAAATACTAAAAACCCAATGAGATACCATTTCCCATTTCAAACCCATCAAGATGGCTATTATTAAAAAAAATAGATGTGGATAAACTGTAATGTTGATGCACTGCCGATGTGAAAATAAAATGGTACAGCCTCTATGGAAAAGTTTGTCGGGTCCTCAAAAAGTTACACAAAGAATTACCATATGATCCAGTAATTCCACTTCTTGAAAAATATCCAAAAAAATCAAAAGCAGAAACTCAGATGTTTGTATACCAGTGTTCACAGTAGCATCACTTACAACAGCCAAAAGGTAGAAACAACCATACGCTACATGGCCTTTTATGTCTGGCTTCTATCACTTGGCATAATTCTTCGAGGCTCATCCATGTTGTAGCAGGTATCAGAATTTCATTCCTTTTTTATGGTGCAATGATATATGTATATACCACATTTTGTTTATCCATTCATCTGTTGATGGACATTTCGATTACTTCCTTTCTTCTTTATGAGATAGTAACTAATTTTTAGTAATTAATTGCCATGGGATTCTGGGGCCTTGTAGTTGATGTCTCATTTGTTTTTTATCTATTTATTTATATAGTAAGGTGACTTTGCTTTTTAAAAATTATATAATACAGATAATAACGTGGTATCAATTTTGTATGGGGACTAGACATTGTGATGATCCTTTCGTAACAGATACAAACATTGAATTTCTATGTTGCACACCTGAAACGGATATGCCAATTATAGTTTAATAAAAACTTTAACATTAAAAATGGCATATACCCATGACCAAGAATTGAAGAACTAGAAAAACATAAAAGGAAAGGTCTTTTTAAAAAAACACCCAAGCTGCTATACATAAAATAACATTGATATGTGATAATCATTGTGTGTATAAAAATGATAGCTGATGATCATAATTACATGTGTACATTTTAATTTAGTGATTTACTACAATTTTATGAAAAGAGTTCAAGTAACTAATTCCCAAAAGAACTCTGCAGTTAAGGGAGACGAAAGAAACCAACAAGAGACTCAGGTGGTTATTGGGTCGGCCCAAATGAACTTTCTGATCAGCCTGATATTATTACCGATATATTCTGACATTCAAGAATATCTATTGACTCGCTGCTAAGAAGACGGACAGGCACATTCACATTTCCTCTCACCCATCTCTTCTCTCCAAACATTCCATTTGTTTTTGTTAAACTATTTATCTAATGTCAAGATTTTCTGATATTTATGTTCTGTTCTGAGATGCCAATGCTGGCTGATTAGTCTTAATTCTGCCCTTAAATGAATTTATAATTCATCGTCTGTCTTTTTTCACCAGTATCTGTGTCTTTCTGGATTTCTTACTATGAGTCATCTTGGTGTGTCTTCTTGGCCCTGAAAGTCTTGATCCCATACCATAAGACAAGACTTATGCATGGATGATCTGCCTCTCTGTTGCCTTTCCACATGGAGAAAAAACAAAATGTAAAGGAAAATACTTGGGTCATTGCCGGGAGCCGTTATGGGGGGTCCTGCCCGTGACGAAGTCACGAAGAAAACACCGGGCAGGCAAGGCCGTCCGGGACCCCATCCATGACGAGGTCACGAGGAAAGAACCTGACAGGCAAGGCCGTCTAGGATAAGGGAGCCTCCAGGTTGGCTTCGGCCTCTACCCCACCCTGTGCCCTCCCCCCTTTCCTGCTGTTGCTCTTGTTCGCCCTGCTGCGGATTCTTGTGTTGCCTGCTGAGAGCTCTCCTGCTCCTCTTTCACTGAATGAGGACCAACTTAAAACCCTAATTAATAAATCTCCTGGAACTGTAAAAAATGTAATCCTATCTAGTTCCCATAGAGATGACGCTTATTAGAAAGAAAATAGATTAATTATAAGAAAAACAGGGTCAGCTACTGAAGTTGCTTAAGTCACACCAGGTGCAAGCCATAAAATGTTAGCAAGCCTGAAGGCCAAATGATAAGACTCTTGTGAATAAAAAAGTATGTGCGTGACATCCTGTTTCTGTTGAAGGTCAAGTTGCTGTAATGTTTTGAGATGCCATGTGTGTAAGCAATATGCACTTCCCCCAAAAAGATGTTGTTAAGGGTATAAAGGAGCCATGCAAAAATAAACTTCAGACTTAGCCCCGAGCTTTGTCTCACTCTCTCTCTCATTCGCCGACGCCATTCATCCTGAGGGTTCCCCTGGATCCTGCTGGGGCTGGACCCCGATAGGTCATAGTTCCTTTTTAAAAAAATTTATTTATTTAATCTTTTGGCCACACAGCATGCAAGGACCTTAGTTCCCTAACCATGGATCGAACCAGTGTCCCCTGCATTGGAAGCACAGAGTCTTAATTGTTGGATGGCCAGGGAAGTCCCTTTCCTTCCCTTTTGAACTGTGGCACGTTTCACTGTCTGCTGGCATCTGATGCTACCGTGAAGATGTGTGAGGCCAGGCAGGAGATTTTTGTTGTCTGTTTGACTTTTACGCTCAGAGGCCTTTTGCTCTTGTTTTTTTTTTAACCCATGAAGTTCAGCACCTTATTTGCTGGCTGTGTTTTAGTGGGTCGTATTTTCTTGGCACGTAGTATGCCATTCTGACCTGAAGGTTAAAGCTTTTATTAGAGGAAGTTAATTCTCCTTATTATCTCTGAATATTTTTTGTTCCACTTGTTTTGCTCTTCTCACAAATACCCATTACACTCATGTTTAATCTCCTCTGCCTTCCATATCCATAACTGCCTCTAAAAACCAATTTTACATCTTAACTCTTTTCCATATCATTTTATATGAGTCATTCCACCTTATATACCATAGCTCTCTGTTTTCAGTTGTTTTATTTTTTGTTGCTTGTAAAATAACTTTTATGTCTGCTATATAAAATTTTTCTTTTCAGTTTTTCCCCTGACTATTCCAAGTTGTCTTCTCATCTCCTTCTGTTGACTTATAACCTCTTTATGAACTCTAAACCTCATTTTAGAGCCACTCCTCCCTCCACTCCATCACCCCCTGCCCTGGGCCAAGATATCATGACTATAATTTCCTTGGGAGTACAGAGACTATTTTTTGACACTTTTCTCTGGCTAGTATCATTGTGATGCTGTTGTTCATGTGACTCTTGCTCCCTGTTCCTTTGCCCATGCCCTGACTTCTTTCTGATCCTTCACTTTCCCCCATTTCAGTTCTGACACTTAGTTTTTATGCTGCAGCTTTAAATGTAGCTGGCTGTTTGTGAATAATATGGATTGGGGGATGAGCTAGGGTGTTTCCATCAGTTTCTTGTCTCCCACAATCTGTCATCAAATTTTTATTTCCTCCGCCCACATCTCTCTTCAAACTTTGGCATTTGAAGGGCTAGGGTGACTCAGGGAACAGTCTCTTAAGTAACTGTAATCACCCAGCAAGCATCCTTCATGCCACTCCATCTCTGCAGCCTTCCTGGGCTACAGGGCCTCCACACGTGGTCTCTCCTGCAGCTCCATCTGCCCGACGGCTCTGGAGGGACATTCACGGTATTTTCAGGGGCGGCACATGGTCCCCCTTCTAGTGTCTATAATCAAGATCCACTGAAGCAGGCCTTTTAGGACTTTCACATTAACTCCTCAGGAAATCTACCTCCTGCTCGTGCCTGAAGAAATATTTGTCAGCCCTCAGCCTTCTCTTTTTCATTTTGGTTCAGATTTTATGGTCTTTGGCAGGTGTGTTTCATAATTTATAGTTTGGGCTTGTGGCTGTTTCATTGTTCATTGAAGACAGAGTGTTCTCTCTCTTTCATTATCTTTGTGGGGTTTTTTGTTGGGTTTCAAAGAAGGGGAATGGAATTTTTAAAATTCTTTTATTGTTCTCTTCAACAGAAAGCCCTAATTATTAGCATTTTTTCAGTGCCAAGGGAAGCTTTTTGTAAGCTTTTGAACAAAATAAAAAATTTACCATTTAGCAACTTATGATGTACATTAAATCCGCTACATAGGATTTTGTGTTCCAAAAGCACATTCGTAAGTCCAATTTGTTCCTAGGTCCAACAAGGTTACCCTAGGTACCCAACTAACACAATCAGCTACATAATACTGTCTGTAATAGCAATAAGTTTATAATACTTTTAACAC